TCTGGCGCCCTCTTCTGGCCTCCTGGGGCAACAGGCATGCACCTGGTATTGGGACAAAACAGTCATTCACCTAAAATAAAATCAAATGAAGTTAATGTGATTACCAATAAGATAAAATGTAAAGTTGGGTAGTGGTGGTGGCATGTGCCTTTAATCCCAGCACTCAGGAGGCAGAGGCAGGCAGATGTCTGTGAGTTCGAGGACAGCCTGGTCTACAAGAGCTAGTTCCAGGACAGGCTCCAAAGCTACAGAGAAACCCTGTCTCGGAAAACAAACAAAAGATAGGATGTATAGTATCCATTTTGATATTTTCTGTATTTTATGTCTTCTGTGTCTTATATCCTCAACACTTTATTGCCTTTAATTTTATTTATTTTTTAATATATGTATCTTCCTACTCCCCTTTATAAAATGATTTATTTATTTATTATGTATACAGTGTTCTGACTGCATATCATAAAAGGGCACCAGATCCCATTACAGATGGTTGTGAGTCACCATGTGGTTGCTGGGAATTGAACTCAGGACCTCTGGAAATCTCTTAAGTTCTGAGCCATCTCTCCAGCCCCCTGTCTTTTATTTTAAACAGGTGCTTTCCTGGCACACGGTTTCACTTTATTTTGTGTGTATGTGTTTGTGTCTGTGCATGTACATGTGCAGACTGCAGAACAAATTTGAATGTCATCCCTCAGGAGATATCCATTTTATTTATTTCTGTGTGTGTGTGTGTGTGTGTGCATATGCGCGTGTGTGTTGTATGCATGTGTATATGGGTGAGTGTGCTTGCCTGTATATGTGTACGTAGAGACCACAGATTGACATGGAATATCTTCTTCCATTGCCTTACTTCTAATTATTTTAGAAAAGGTCTCACACTAAACCTAGAGCTCGCAGTTTCTTGGCTGGATCAGCTACAAGCTAACTGCCCTTCCAGGATCCATTTGTCTCCAGCCATCCCCACCCTACCCGTCAGTGCCTGGGTTACACATTTGCCAGCACATCCAGCTTTTCACATGAGTGCTGGGGATCTGAACTCGTGTCTTTGTGCTTGTACCCGCTCAGCCACCTCCTCAGCCCACACTTTGCTTTTGAAACTGGGTCACTCACTTGTAGAAGCTCACTGAAGAGGTTAGGCTGGCTTATCAGTGAGCCCCAGAGATTATCCTGTTTTTGCCTTCCCAGTGCTGATATCACTGGCATGTATGCACCTGAGTCAGGCTTTTTACAACGGGTTCTAGGGATTCAGTTTATTGTCTCATGCCTGTGCCGCAAACACTCTACTAAATGAATTATTTTCCTGGTAATGTGGTATTATCTTTTGTTTTTTAATTACTTTTAGATAGAGTCTCACTATGAAGTTATGAAGTGCACACACACACACCTGCCTATTGAGTCCAGTTTTTGTTTTTTAATTTTTAGATAGAGTCTCACTATGAAGTGCACACACACACACATACACACACACACACACACCCCTACACCTACTATTGAGTCCATTTAGTGTTGCTTGCATATACATGTGTCTACAGTTGAGCACTTTGGGACTGATCACCTATAAGAGAGCTCGTCCCTGGAGAAACCGTTTCTTTCCGCAGCCACTGATCGCCTGCAGCTCTTCATCTAGGGGTGAGACCTCTGAAATTCTGGCCGTCCATGTTGGCATCTCAACTGGTGTTGTCATTATGCAGGTCTTTGTCTAGGCAACCATACTGCTGAGATTCCATGTTGGCTCTGCTTCCCTGTTCTGTCTGGAAGACGCTAGCAGCAGCTGCCCTGGTACTCTCTGGCTCTTAAAAATCTTTCCACCCCCTCTTCGGAGATGTTCCCTGAGCCTTAGGTTTACCCGTTGCCTTGGAGATGTACTAATCAGGGTTGGGCTCCCCACAATTGTCATTTATTCTTTATATTTTTACCAGATGTAGGGCTTGTTTTTGTTTTGTTTTTATAAAAAAAAAACCCTGTAGTTTTAGGCCAGTTTTTCAGTGTGTACCCTGGAGATTACAATTAATGTCTTAATTTAAAACAAATTAGTTTAATGTATATCCTAGCTTCAAGAGTATACTAAAACTTGCATTACTTTACAGCTTCCCAAGACCCTATGTGTGTCCTCTTCATAATGGTGATCTTAAAATAGTAACATTTGTAGCTTGGGATCCAAGAGTGTTGAGTGGAAAAGTGGGTAAAACTGTAACGTCTTTCATGGTCTCATCTCCGAACACAGAGTCACATCAGCCACATTCTTTTTGTAGCAATCTCAAAGGTGCCCATATCCAAAGGCAAGGGCCATTAACTGTGCGTGTTGATGGAAACCCAGCTAAGAGTTTCCAGAAAGGCTTGCTAACTGTCACAACAGGTTAAGAAATCAAGCGTTGGCGCCTTTGCCAAGGTCATTTGCTTGGTAAACACAGAACCTCTCAGTACTAATCACACTTTTCTTTGTCTGAAAAGTGAAGGAATTGGGATAGGAAGTACAGACTTCCCTTTCTTGTCCCCTGGTGCATACATAGGCATGCGGGGTGTGTGTGTGTGTGTGTGTGTGTGTGTGTGTGTGTGTGTGTAGCACCATGTAAATAGCATCTTAAGATGAGAGACTCCAACTTTGCCAGGATGAGCTGTCTCTGAAGACAGTGTCCTTTCACTCCCAATTAAGACGGGGGGGGGGGGGACTTGATTTCTTCTATTTTCACAGAGGGAGGGAATCTTATGGGGAAATACATAGCTAAAGAAATATATAGAGCCGGGCAGTGGTGGTGCACGCCTTTAATCCCAGCACTTGGGAGGCAGAGGCAGGCGGATCTCTGTGAGTTTGAGGCCAGCCTGGTCTACAAGAGCTAGTTCCAGGACAGGCTCCAAAACCACAGAGAAACACTGTCTCGAACCCCCCCCCCCCAAAAAAGAAATATATAGAGTGTATTTTCTTTTCTTTCTTTCTTTTTGGTTTTTCATGACAGAATTTCTCTGTGTAGTCCTGGCTGTCCTGGAACTCATCTGTAGACCAGGCTGGCCTCAAACTCAGCAAAGGTCCGCCTATCTCTGCCTCCTTAGTGCTGGGATTAAAGGCATGTGCCACCACCACCCAGAAGAATGTATTTTAAAAATAAGGGAAAATAGCTTTCTCCAAGGGCCAACAGGTAGGTTTTGATTATAAAAAAGACCTTCAAATTTTGAGGCAATCTCCAGTAATTCATAATTCATGCATTAGGGCACAGAGTAGTGCATATGGCTCAGGACTGAGTAGCTGCTTCTCTTTCCAAGGACCCAGGTTCGACCCCCAGCACCCATCCAGAAGTTCACAACTGCCTGTAACACCAGTTCCAGGAGATCCAATGCCCTCTCCTGACATCTATGATTGCATGCACAAACATGGTATACATATACGCTTAGACACACACATAAATATCCTTTGAAATGTATTAAATATAAATTTTTAAAATATAAAAATCGCAATATTTTAACGTCTTAATATAGTTAGGAAATGTGAAATTAGTTTTGTCTAGATCTTTGAGAAGGCCTGCCTAACAGTGTAAGCTTTGGAAAAGGCTTGAAAAGAGGTAACCTATAGCGCTGAGCGGAGAAAGGCATCTGGTCCCTTACGAAAACTAGGTGGGTAAGTGCCTAGTGGGGGACTGAGAAAACAGGTTCCCGAGCTGACAGGCTGAGAGTTGAATTCTCTCCCATTGCATTACACCTGTGATACAGATGACTACAGAAGCAGCATCAGGCCCGGGCGGGGGGTGTTGGTTTTTGTTTGTTTGGTTTTTGGTTTTTCGAGACAGGGTTTCTCTGTAGCTTTGGTGCCTGTTCCGGAACTAGCTCTTGTAGAGCCAGGCCTGCCTCTGCCTCTTGAGTGCTGGGATTAAAGGCATACGCCACCACTGCCCGGCTGTTTTTTTTTTTTTGTTTGTTTGTTTTTTTAAAAGCATATTTAGGCCAGGCCAGGAGGCAAGCACCGACAGAGGGTAATGGGCTGCAACTTGTGCAGTTTCTGGAAGAGCCCAACCCTGGTTTCCAGCAAACGCTAAGGAAGGAGGCACCTTGTGGTGACCAGTAGGGAACTGTTTGCCTATTTGTAGTCCTGGGTGAACAAACTGGCAAGCAAAGAAAGAAGCCCTGCTGCTTAGGAGGCTAGGGCTGTGGAAAACCGTTAAGGGACTCCTGCGCGTTCTGGCTGCTCTCAGGAGAGGCAAGGAGGGGATCTTGGGGGTGAATCTTCTGAGCCTGCTTGGAGAGGCCATACTACTCCTAGTTGGTTTGCTCTTGGCTTACTCAGACTGTTACCCACATTGTAACATGATTTCACAGGACATTACAAAAGTTCCCCTGAAGCAAGGGAAGGTGGTGTGCAGGGAGACAGAATTGGGAGCAACCCACTCTCTATGCTCCTCTTCCTTCACAAGAACGGGGAGGAAGATACTAAAGCAGTGGAGAGGCCAGGACTCTAAATACTGTGTTCACAAATGAAACCTTAGCTTCTATAGTTTTTAGGATGCTTAACAAATTTTATAAATACAAGTCTTTTTAAAATGAGGTTTAAAAGCAGCAATGAAATGAAACCATTTTTTTCAACTGCAATAAAGCAAAACCAAAAAATGAACATGAAAATAGCAACACTTGGGCTAAAAGGGGGGGAATTATAATGAAAACTATAACAACTTTATAATCAAGAAAAATTATGTGTAAAAATTATAGAATGTGACCAAAGCCATACTTAAGAGAAAACCCATAATCTCAAATGTTTTTATTATTACATTAGAAAGAAATAAAGTACAATATGCTTGATTTTACTAATGCTAATACTGTGTAGGGCCTGAACAAAATATATTTCAGTCTTCATAGTATTTATCAGGTGAGTGCTGTTTATCACCTTTATGATAGGAGGTAGGTCCTGTATATGCCCCAATCAGGCACACGCATGCAGTGTACCAACAGTGCAGCCTGTTTCCAAGAACTACTTCACATGTCTCTTGATTTTATGCCACAAACGTTTATTAATGGTTATTATTCTACACAGGGCACAGTAAGTAACAAAAATTCCACAATGTTTTCTACCCTGTATAAATCTACTCACAATAAAGACAAAGGAGGGGATACAGTTTATAGTACAATTGCCACTGGTCCGGCTAGCTAACCACAGCACTAGGGTTGCAGTCAGAAAAGCGAGTCCAACTTGGGATGGGCACAGAGAAGTCTATTGGGGCGCTTGTTGTCCCCGCTTAGGGAAGCAGCTCTAAATTGTTCAAATGATTATTCAAGTCAAGAGAATCAAAAAGAGCATACACATTTCCATTTTATTAAAATAGTGTATAAATACAGAGCGGTTGGGCACATCCATTCTAAGGCACTGTTCTGGTTTAAATGCAATTCCACAAGAGAGAAAGAGAAGCCACTACATTCTGTATTTTTTAATCTCTACATTCAGACTCCTCCTATGTTCCTTGGGTCTAATTTTAATCCCAGAATTATTAGCAGCATCATACAGGGACCTGGATGCCAAGAATTAAAGACACATCCTGGCTCTGGCACTTTATATGATTTGGCACTTAATTATAAGCTCTCTTGTATTTTCTCCATTTTTTTTCCCAACTCTTGTTTAACTAGAGATATTATAAAGTTTTATGAGCCTTACACATGAATTATGTTTTGTTACTAGCTTCAATTAAGACTAGAACAGGACAAGTTAGGCACATAATACATACCCGCCAAATACTTACATATCACTTCAAAGAACTTGAATGCAATGAAGAGATACATTTTCCTTAGTTCTACTTTAAAGATGACTGTGCATCTTCATAAAGGGAATATACTTGAATGTCCCATTTCATGTATCTAATAACAAGGACTAAGCTCAACGAGTATTTTCACATATCAATAGCTTCAATTGATAATGACTTTCTCCCTTACTATGAGACTTGAGTTGTTACTATGATTACATTTAGAACACTTATATAAGTAGCAACTCTGTATGTGTATGTATGTGTTTGTGTGTGTGATTATGAGTAAAATTCAAAAAGATCAAGAATCACTAGGTAATTCATAACTTATGTGACGTAGTGACTGTCATCTCTGAAAATGATGTGTAAGTATAATTAAAATTCAGAGGCTGCAAATCATTAAGTAACCCACAAATTATGTCACTTAGTGATCTTAATGTCCTTGAAATGATGTGTGTATAATACAAAAGATGTATATTTTCAAATGATTTTTCATAAAATCCTTGAAATTGGAAATAACTAGGTTTAGAGCTACGGGACTACACTGATAGCTACAGACATACTGGTTTAAGGCAGTGTGTCCCAAGGGATACCTGCAGAATAGTCCTGCAAGCTATTACTACGAGTACATGACAAAGGTTCAGGGGTCAAATAAGTTTGGAAAGCACCGAGCTACAAGAGGTGCCTTAGCCTCCTTTACTAAACTACGCCCTTTCCAAGAGTCTCATATGCTGATGAGCATCATGAATCTAGGAAGGACAAAAGCTAGAAGCAGTTTCCACAAAGATTTGCAGAACGAAGTTTTCTATGACACATACTTAGGGAGACACTGAATAGAGAATGAACACAGTTTCAAAAGCACTGAAATAAACGTGAGAGAATACCAAAGCAGAACGAAAAGCCACGATACTTGTTCTTCAGTCCATCCAGATAAAGAGAGATTCTACTTGTACAACTTCAACTGTGAGTTACTTCTGCTAGACCTAGCAGTCAGAAGCACAGAACTCCACTGGAGTCCCCATTACCCCAGATGGCCAGCTAAGCAGAGCAGCAAACCCCACAAAAGTCCGAGCTCAATGTCACAGCTCTAAGCATAAGACTGGAAAGGGAAACAAGCCTGCTCCTTCGGCCAATGGCATTCTCTCCCTAATCCTCCTGAAACGTTTGTATTGTTAGACAAAATTCACTGCCTCATTTCTTGTCACACGAGGCATGTCTATCTGAGTGGCCACTCTCACACAGCTGCCTTCAGCAACTCCGGAGGGGAGAGGTGTGGCAGTGGGACGGCAGACGCTGTGCTTCCATTACGCTGGTCCTATCTCTAAACGACTGCCACCATGTCTATGCTTTGTGCTTATCATACAGTTAACTGCCTTGGAATCAAAACTTTCCATTGCAATTAAACAACAGAAAAAAGACAGAATGTATGAAATTCAGAAAAACTGCAAGGATAGGTAGTCACTCTAGAACTCCTACACCTTGAAAGATGGGCTTTAAAAACAGCACCATCAAACCTGTACTTGTAAGTTCAGACAAAAGGCTTCTAAGACAAACAGCTCCTATAGGCTCCAATGGTAACTGTCATAGGACCTGCTTCCCTTAAGAGTTCTTAAAGAAGTCCTCTGAAGTGTGTGACCTGGTGCATGATAAGGCCCGCTCGCTGTCTGAAGCTTTTAGAACAGTGAGTGCACTTGTATGGCTTCTCCCCTGTATGGATTCTCAAATGAATTACAAGGCTCGGTCTCTGTCTAAAGCTTTTCCCACAGTAGCTACATTTAAAGGGCCTCTCTTCCGTGTGTGTTCTCTGGTGCAAAGTGAGCGCCGTCAGGCGACTAAAACTCTTTCCACAATTATGGCATCTATGGGGCTTTTCACCTGTATGGGTTTTCAGGTGTCTTTTAAGACTCGATCCATGACAAAAGCTTTTCCCACACTCAAGACATTTATATGTTTCCTCTTCAGAATGGGTTCTCTGGTGCCCAATAAGGTGTGAGCGCCGAGTGAACCGCTTTTTACATACAGTACATTCGTAGGGTCTCTCTCCGGTGTGAAGTCGCTGATGTCTATATAGGTCTGAGCTCCGCAGGAACCTTTTTCCACATTCAGGGCATTTGTGAGGCTCCTCCCCTGAATGAATTCTCTGGTGCCCAGTAAGCTGGGACTTCCGAGCGAAGCATTTTCCACACTGAGGACATCGGTGAGGTTTCTCTCCAGGACTCTTTTTCTTTGGAGGCTTTGGGCTGAGAGGTTCTTCCAAATTGGAGGTCTCAGGTGTCTCTCCTAGAGTGGGGTTCTGAGGGTCTCCAAGTGTGGTTAAGTCTGTCTGTAAATCCTCTGGGGGTGGATCCCACTGGTTTTCTAACTGCACATAGTCTTTCTGCAGGATGGGACCATGGAGAGCATTCCCTTCTAAAGTTACCACAAAAGGGTACATATCTTCCAGTTTTTTCTCTTTTGAAGGATCCTCTTCATTTTCTAGCCCCATCTCAAAACCTGAGAAGAAATAGAAACTGAAGATGTCACTGTGTTCGGAAAAGAGAACCAGTGGAGGAAAGTAAATAGTGAATAGAAATGCCTAGACACACTTCCATGCTCCTCACCCCCATTATTGCGCTTTTTTCCCCTCCTTCCCAGGACCAGAAAGGAACCATTACTTACCAATCTTGGGATCAAGCAATTGTTTCATATCTTTGGGATCCTGTAATTCTTTTACCCATGACTCTTCTCTATGATCCAATGGGAAGTTCATGTCAAGCTTTGGTAACTGATAACCTGGTCACAGAAGCAAAAGGGAGAAGCATGACAGTGTGGTTCATCAAGGGTTTTTCTAGCATATAGGCTGACTACATGGATATATAGCCTCTAAATACTCATACCCTCCCCAAATTGTTCCTTCATCTGGAGTCACTTAGAAGAGTCTTTTGAAAAGATAAGAACAAAACAACAGTTGAGAAGGCCATCTTTTTGTGATCTCAGGTGAATGAATCATGTGCTAAAAGCAATGCATTTAGCTCTGTATCTATTTTGATAATACATTTATTTATGCTAGAGATAAACTATGGAGTAAATCTTCATAGAATGTTGGTATACTAAAAACTGGGAATTACTGTTATTGAGTGCTTAAAGAAGAGCAGTCTAAACATACGTGTCAAAGAAGAGTTCTGTAAACATGTGTCAAAGAAGAGGAGTGTAAACAAACATGTGAAAGAAGAGTGGTCTAAACATACATGTCAGAGAAGAGTGGTATCAACATACATGTCAGAGAAGAGTGATATAACATATGTGCCCAGAAGAGCGGTGTAAACACATGTGTCAGAGAAGAGCACTGTGAACACAGGTGTTGGAGAAGAATGGTGTGAACACAGGTGTCAGAGAAGAGTGTTGTGAACACAGGTGTCGGAGAAGAGTGTTGTGAACACAGGTGTCAGAGAAGAGTGTTGTGAACACAGGTGTCAGAGAAGAGTGGTGTGAACACAGGTGTTGGAGAAGAGCCGTGTAGACACAGGTGTCGGAGAAGAGCACTGTGAACACAGGTGTCAGAGAAGAGCACTGTGAACACAGGTGTCGGAGAAGAGCACTGTGAACACAGGTTTCAGAGAAGAGCACTGTGAACACAGGTGTCGGAGAAGAGCGGTGTGAACACAGGTGTCAGAGAAGAGTGTTGTGAACACAGGTGTTGGAGAAGAATGGTGTGAACACAGGTGTCAGAGAAGAGTGTTGTGAACACAGGTGTCGGAGAAGAGTGTTGTGAACACAGGTGTCGGAGAAGAGTGTTGTGAACACAGGTGTCGGAGAAGAATGGTGTGAACACAGGTGTCAGAGAAGAGTGTTGTGAACACAGGTGTCGGAGAAGAGTGTTGTGAACACAGGTGTCGGAGAAGAGTGTTGTGAACACAGGTGTCGGAGAATAATGGTGTGAACACAGGTGTCAGAGAAGAGTGTTGTGAACACAGGTGTCGGAGAAGAGCGGTGTGAACACAGGTGTCGGAGAAGAGCGGTGTGAACACAGGTGTCGGAGAAGAGCACTGTGAACACAGGTGTCGGAGAAGAGCACTGTGAACACAGGTGTTGGAGAAGAGCACTGTGAACACAGGTGTCGGAGAAGAGTGGTGTGAACACAGGTGTCGGAGAAGAGTGTTGTGAACACAGGTGTCAGAGAAGAGTGTTGTGAACACAGGTGTCGGAGAAGAGCACTGTGAACACAGGTGTCGGAGAAGAGTGGTGTGAACACAGGTGTCAGAGAAGAGTGTTGTGAACACAGGTGTCAGAGAAGAGCACTGTGAACACAGCTGTCGGAGAAGAGCACTGTGAACACAGGTGTCGGAGAAGAGTGTTGTGAACACAGGTGTCAGAGAAGAGTGTTGTGAACACAGGTGTCGGAGAAGAGTGTTGTGAACACAGGTGTCGGAGAAGAGCGGTGTGAACACAGGTGTCGGAGAAGAGCACTGTGAACACAGGTGTCAGAGAAGAGCACTGTGAACACAGGTGTCGGAGAAGAGCACTGTGAACACAGGTGTCAGAGAAGAGTGTTGTGAACACAGGTGTCGGAGAAGAGCGGTGTGAACACAGGTGTCGGAGAAGAGCACTTTGAACACAGGTGTCGGAGAAGAGCACTGTGAACACAGGTGTCGGAGAAGAGTGTTGTGAACACAGGTGTCAGAGAAGAGTGTTGTGAACACAGGTGTCGGAGAAGAGTGGTGTGAACACAGGTGTCGGAGAAGAGTGGTGTGAACACAGGTGTCGGAGAAGAATGGTGTGAACACAGGTGTCAGAGAAGAGTGTTGTGAACACAGGTGTCAGAGAAGAGTGTTGTGAACACAGGTGTCGGAGAAGAGCACTGTGAACACAGGTGTCGGAGAAGAGTGGTGTGAACACAGGTGTCGGAGAAGAGTGGTGTGAACACAGGTGTTGGAGAAGAGCCGCGTAGACACAGGTGTTGGAGAAGAGTGCTGTGAACACATGTGTTAGGAAATTGCTTACTGGAATAAGCTCACTTGATCCCTTCACAGAAACATTTCCATTGTATTGTACTTAATTGGCAGCAGCAAAAGGTAGTCTTTATGTGTCAGCAGAAGTCTAGAAAGGGCACTTCAAAATAAATAACCCAAATGAACTGCTAGGTAGTGTTTCTTCCCAACATCTTTTTAAAATTCATTATCTCTGTGTTTATTATTACACTTAAATTTAGCAACTATAAGATAGATGTGTTTCTGAGGATCAAACCCCAAAGTAGCTTTGGCAGAGGTGGTTCTTTCTGCCCAACATCTTAAGTACTACTTGGTTTCCCACCATTTCAGCCTTCATTGGCACCCTATTTTTCCTGTTTCTTTTTCTCCATCCTCCTCATTGCTGGCCAAGTATACTGCTCTACAGGAACATTTGGTACAGAAATGAGCTAACAAACAGGCTGATGGTTAAATGTTAGAATTATTAAAATGGCACATGCAGGCAAATACTAATTTGTATTTTAGATTAAGGCATGAGAAATGGACAGAAATTCCTTGTTTGTTTTATCAAGAAGAAACCATATGTTTCAATCTTAAGACTAACAAATGAAAGATAGGGAGCTCAAATGGTTTCCTGTGCTGGGCGTTGACAGTGCATGCTATAATTCCAGGCTCAGACAGAAGGATTTCAAGTTCCATGTCAACCTTGGCTACAGAGTGAGACCTGCCTCAAAAAGAAGATACGTACTTCAAAATTTGCTATTTGATTTTTGTTTGGATTTCAAAGTTAAGATAATATGAAGGGATAATATGGGATAGACAAAAAAGCTGAGGGCCACACCCCAAAGGAAAGCTGCTGCGAGGAAACAGAGGGCACACACTAAAACTGGGAAGAGACTAACAAGCTAATGTGTAAAATACTGATTCAGGTAACAGTCCAAGATGGCAGAGTATACCCACCCAACCACTGCCAAGTTCTCCTGGGAATAGGACTGAAACAGAGAGGAGCTAACTACCCTTGAGGTAGCTGGTGTTAGTTGTTGGTGGAAAGGCAGAGATATGAGAAAATGCAAATCTTTCTGGAGAGTAGAACAGAGGACAAGAAAGAGCATCCTTGTACATGGTAATAGCACAGTAGCGGGCAGGGGCTGGAGTAAAGAAAAGGAGAAACTTAGAAAATGCAGTCTTCTCCAGTATGCAAAAGACAACCTTGACATGAAACACGGGCTTTGCATAGCATCCCGGCACTGGCCGAAGTTTCCCTACTTCCCACCACGTAATCATGCTGCAGTACTTAAGGTCTCCCCTGAACTGCTCCAGGATTCAAAGCTACCTACATTTATTTGTCTCCCGAAACCCACAGGAAAACCCACTAACTAATCTAGGAAGTGTTAGACCAGACAGCCAATCAGCTGGCTGCTGGAAAAGACTTAACCAAAGCCTCTGAAAGCTCTATGCTAGCCTTTCTCACTACTCTTAATATATAGCACCTGAAATCTTAGCCAGAGCAGCAAGACAAGAGAAAGAAATAAAAGTGAAACAAACAGAACAGGATGAAGCCCAATATCCCTATTTGAAGATAAATTCTTGTATTTAGACCCTAAGATAGAAGAATCAAAGATCTGATAGAATTTCAGCAAACAGGCATGATACAAAATCAACAAAGAAGATCCAGTAACTTTTTTTTAATATAAAACTTGACCTTGAGAAAGAAATCAGAAAAAACAATGCCATCTAGTATACCATAAAAAATACCAGGAATAGGGGCTGGAGAAATGGCAAAAGCAGTACTTCTCTGCACTTCACATCAGAAGACATCAGCTGCTTGTAACTTCAGGTCTGGGGGATCTGATGCCTTCTTCTGGCCTCTGCAGGCACTGTATTCATGTGCCCCAAATGCACACATAATTAACAATAGAATATTTTTAAGTACCTAGGAATAAATCTAACCAAGGAGGCAAAATTCCTCTATAATATAACTACAAAACATGTATGAAAGAATCAGAGGAATATACTAGAAGACTGAGGAACTTCACAAAGTAGCAGAATTAAAATTGTAAAAATAGCACTGTCGCCCAAAGTGGTCTGTGGTAGAGTGTAACCAACCTTCAAAATTCAAACTACATTCTTCAGAGAACTAGAAATCGGCCCTAAATTTCATGCAGAAGCACAAAGGATACAAACAGCGAAGGCAGCTCTCACTGAAAAGAAGAATGCCAGAGGCATCATACCTGACCTCAAATTATACTACAGAACCATACTGACAAAGTTGCCAAAAATAAAACATGGAGGAAAAAAAATAGTCTCCTCAACAAATGGTACCTGGAAAACAGAATTTATCTACATGTAAATGCTACTTTTTGTTCTGTTTTTTTTTGAGACAGGGTTTCTCTGTGTAGCCTTGGCAGTCCTGGAACTCACTCTGTAGACCAGACTGGCCTCAAACTCACAGAGATATGTCTGCCTCTGCCTCCCAAATGCTGGGATTAAAGGTGTGCACCACCACTACCCAACTTCTACATGCCCATGATTAAGACTTTATCCCTACTAATAATTCGATTAAAAATTAATTTAAAATGGCTCAAAGAAGTCAGGCAGTAGTGTCACATACATTTAATCCCAGCGTTCCAGGACAGCCAGGATTACACAAAGAAAACCTGTCTCCAAAGAGAAAGAAAAAAATCAAAGACTTTAATGTTAGACCTGATACTTTTAAACTACCAGAAAAAAACCGTGGTGAAATATGTCCTGATATAGGTATTAGTAAAACCTTTCAGAAATGAACTCCAAATCTTGGAAAATAATAGTAAGAACAGGCCAGTGGGA